CTGGTCTACAGCAGTCATCCCCTAGTGGGTCATCCCTCCCCTGGTTTCTCACCTGGTCTACAGCAGTCATCCCCTAGTGGGTCATCCCTCCCCTGCTTTCTCACCTGGTCTACAGCAGTCATCCCCTAGTGGGTCATCCCTCCTCTGGGAAGGTTGAAGTCCTTACATATTTCATAACATGCTATGGATCTCCTTTGTCCCACCAGCCAAAGCTGCAGTGCTGTGATTCTGGCTAGGACTATCCTGCACTGTCCCCTCCAGGAGGCCAAGCCCCATAGGCTAAGACCATTTGCAAAGTTTCTCACCACAACATCCACCTACCACAGCTATCAGGTACCATCAGCATCACTTACATTAAATAAGATTTATAACATGGAGGGCAAAGAACTAACTTTTTTTTTAAGAATTCTGTTTTTCTGTGATTGTCACAACTGTTTACTTATGCAAAATATATGCCACATATACATATCTAGTAGACACATTTATATGACTTTCCCTGATGTTTTCTCTCTTGCTCTCCCTCATTCCCAATATTCATTTACTGACTTTCTTGGTGTCTTCCTCTTTCTTACTTTTTTACTCTCTTTCATCTCTCTCCTCCCCTATAACTTCTCTCATATAGAAACATATATATATATATATATATATATATATATATACATATATATCCCAGAAAGCTAACATGATCATCAGATAGAAAGGCATCTTTCTAATGATTTCTGAAAGTATGGCTTCTGGTTTCGATTGTTTATCTATATCCCCAGAAATCTTGTTTTCTGGAAACCTGGTATAAGATTCAAATTATACTTCCAGCCATTGTTCTGATGTACAGTTGCCTTTTAAATACAAAACCTGTGTTTAAGTTGAATATCAACACTTACTGTTACATGACTTAAAAAGTAAATGATTTTCTTTTAATTCAGATGGAAACTGGTGGGGAATTGTTTTCAACTGGAGTATTTGTGAGATATTTATCTATATAATTTCATAAAGTTTCACAATGCTTCTGAGAGAGGAACCTGAACCCAAACCTTCTGGAGTCACTGCTAGATTCTCTCTGGCAGATGCTGTATGTACTCCTTGACCTCATTCTCTTCTGGCCTGTCGATTTTAGGAGCGCCAAGAAGCTGGCTTACACGCCTTTGTGTCTCCGGCTTTCCCATCTACTTACTCTCTAACATTTGGTTTAATGTTTCCCGTGATCATTTGATGACATGAACCAAACTAGAACCCCCTCCAAGCCTGCTTCTGAACTGGCCAACTGAGTCTCAATTCTCAAAAGCAGAAAATTCCAGGGCAATCTTCTAAGTCACATCTGGGCCACGGGCCGCAGCACACATGCCATGGAAAAGCACTGGGGACCGCATTCTGCTGTCCTCGGGGCACAGCTTTCATACTTACTTCTCTTAACCAGGTATGCTCAGCAGTGTAACACGAATCTTAAAAGGTCTTATAAAAAAATTAAAAACAAAAAACAAAAAACAGAGCCAGATATTGAGGTGAACTGAAAGATGAGAGAAGCAGAACAGCCAGCCACTAGCTTACCTCTATGAAATCCTCAGCCTCAAGAGAGCGATGAGTTCCTGTTTCCTCATGCCTGATATACCTTTCTGCTATATTACTTCCTGGGATTAAAAGTGTATGCCACCACCACCTGGTTCTGTTCTCTCATGCAGCCCAGTGTGACCTTGAACTCACAGAGATCCAGACGGATCTCTGCCTCCCGAGTGATAGGATTTAAGGTGTGTGCCACCACTGCCTGACCTCTATGTCTAATTTAGTGGCTGGCTCTGTCTTCTGGTACCCAGGTAAGCTTTATTTGGGTACAAAATATATCACCACACAGCAGAGAGAGGAGCAATACAGATTTGACAGATCAAGCCCAGATTATTACTCTGAACAGCATTCTGGGAAATCCTCATCGAGAATAGGAACATTGAGCTCCCAGGGCTGCCTGATCTAATGTGACTTAGTCACTTACCAGCTCTAAGGGATGTTGTTATGGGGACCCCAGACTTGTAAAGTTGCCCTGACAGCAGCTGATGCTCAGAGAATCCTTCTCAGTCTCAGGATAGCAGGGGGAGGGGCCTCAGAATATCAGAAGAGTAATTTTTTGAGTACTTATTATATGCTAGGTATCATGTTGCTAGGTACCGTGCTGAGCACTTTATATAGAGAATATCTACATTAAGCAGCAGGCTTGGCTTTGGAGAGATTCTGGGGGTAAAAGCGTTGTCCCAGAAGTAGCATGCAGCTTCTAACACCGCCAGTGAGCTTTCTTACTTAAGGCAGGACCCCAGTGGCTTGGTCTCTGAATAACCTCAGCTTATTCTCCTCAACCCTTGGAAGAGACCTCTTCTGTATGTTCTTTTAAGTTCTTTACCAGCTCCTTGGAATTCTCCTCAGGCCTTCCTGCTGCTTCTATTTCAATATCTTTTTTATTAGACTCCTGCATCCCCAGTGATTGGAACTCTTTTTTTCCCCCTCCTGTTTTCCTCCGAAACACTATCAAGCTGAAAAACAATGAGAGCAGCTCCTGTTGCTATTAGTCTGGTTGAAAACCTGCCTTACCTGCTCTGGAAGCCAAAGGCCTGCTGTTTACCTGCTAACTTTCCCAGCATTCAAGTCCCCAAATGCACATTTGTCACCAGGCATTGAGTAACCCTAAGCTAAGGCTGCAGGGTGCCTTGTTTGGTAATATGGTCCTCTCTTTTATGCATGCGAGGAAAACTTTTATTTTGCTTTCTGTCAAAAGCCGGGTTTCTGGACAACTAACTTGTCAGTTTCTTTTTGCTACATAAATGGTTTTCAACAATGACTCAGAAATGCATAGCTACCTACTGAGGCAGAGCAATCAATCAAGAAGGATCCTTCTACCTAGGCACTCTGGTAGACAGTCAGTCCTCTGTGGCCAGATACAGCCTGTCGCACTCAAGAAACTTGAAGATGGAGCTGAGCATGAGAGGAGGTGTCCATGACCCCAGTAGTTGAAAGATTGAGGCAGGAGCATTCTGAGTTTGAGGCTCTTGCGGACGACATAGTGAGTTCTAGGCCAACCTGAGATATATAATGAGACCCTATCCTAAAGAAGAGCGGAAAACTGAAACTCTCTGGGGCAAATTTGGGTCTAACCAGCCTCACTGTTTCTCTCGTGTAAGACAATAATACTCAGATAATGCTCTGTGCCTGCGTTATGTATCCAGGCTGTTTATACTATCCCCAAAGTCTACGGACGGTTAAATCGTCCCTCCCTTTGTTAAGGTGGTTAAGTATCCACGAAGAACTCACTCTTAACTAACCCTGAAAGTAAACAGCCCCGCAGTGAAGGGCGATGCTGTGTGGAGAGAGCTCAGGTCTGAGCTGTGGGGCTCTGGTTCTCTCGGTCTTCATTTTACCGGAGACAGCAGAGGCATGACTTTGTAACGTGCACAGGATGCTCCAGGGAACGGCTTCCTGGCCGAGCATCGTTTTCTCCACCACATTGGGGTTGCTCTAGGATTTCATGTTTTCGATGCCACTACCGTCGTCATCGTCGTCATCGTCATCGTGTCGTCATCATCGTCTTCAGATTCATTATTGATAGCCCCTGCCATGGCTCCCCACCCCCTGCCATGGCTCCCCACCCCCTGCCATAGCTCCCCATCCCATGCTCCCTGAAACTCGTACACAGCAAGATCATCACCGCCATCTTCCTTCTTCTCAGACGTAGTAGGGATCACAGCAGCTACTGCTCCGTCCCTTCCTTAGCCCCTCTGCTCACCCGAAACTGACCTTGGCCCCACTCGATGGGGCAGGAGTCTGGTTCTTCTCATATGGCCCGTGTTTCAGCCACTGTAAGTTGTCATCACTGTCCGGCTCCACCCTCCCTGCCAGTTACATAAGAGGCCACATCGACGTCTGCTCCCTAGCACAGGCTTTTATTAAACAGACACCGTGTGAGAGGCCAAGTGGGCAAGAGGTCCATCCGGAGCCGGGTCCCCTGGGAGGGTCAGGGACTGTCTCTGGGTCTTGGCTCCCGGAATGACTCAGCTCAGCCCTCTCTGCCTGTGTCGGCAGCCTTCAGGACCAAGGACGACATGTTATGTTTTCAGCTCCGTAGGAGCAAAAGAGCAGCAGACCTTTCAAAAATAAGAATTCCCTTGCTGTTTGCTTCCTTTTGGAACACAATGAGAACAGACTGAGGACACGACTTTGAGCTGTCAACGCTTCCTCCCGGCTTCCACCGCACCTTTCCTTTGCCAGGAAAAAAAAAATAAAATAAAGCTGCTGAAGTTAAACAAGGGCTTAATGAATAGTCAAAATAATTGTTTAGCTTGGATATAAGGCCCTAGGTAAACAGATGATTGCCCAGACCGGGGGCCAGGAAGAACAGCTCTACAAGGACACTACTTGTTCTGTCCTGAGAGCAAAAGCCCAGTGGCCTTGGCTCTCCTAAGGACTTCCTCACTCGGTTATTTCTCTTCTCACCCGCATGCTGAAGCAATTCAGCATCAGAGGTGCTCTTGGAAGCGGGAAGAAAGAAAGATAACTTTCCATATAGGTAACTATATGCTTAAAATGTCCATCTTCCTCTAGTAGTAAGAAGGCCCGCGGTAGGGTGTGTCCAGTTTGTTTTTATTCAAATTCATGTTGAAAACTTTCAAAGATACCTGCTGCCCCTGGCCTTTCTGGTGTTTTCAACATGGCTTCATTCTCTCCAAAAGCAATCGTTGACTACCTCTAAGGGCTGTCAACAGGTGTGACAGCCACCAGCGCCCCAGACTGTAACCATAGCTGCACGCAATGTGAGCCTGAAGCTGACTTCGTGGTAAGGTCATTGTTTGTGGTCTCTCCTGTTGATGTTTTCTATTCTGATATCTTCCATAGCAACTTGTTTGCTGCTGTCTCTTTCCCCAAAAGTGGGGGTTCATCGTGAAAATTCTGCTTCACTTAGAACTCAAATAAGTAAATCACAAACCCCATTGATTCTGCCGAGTGATTGTTCTAGTAATAGTTTTCCATGACCAAACTGGAAAGAAATAGATAGCCTGTTGATCCAGAACAGAAGTTAGTGTCTTATTCCTACATCCATACTCACTGAAATGCTGTTTGAATAAACATCTCTTTGACTGAATCCTGGATTTGTTGAGGTGATAAATTCCCCAGTATTCAGTCTGCAGGATTATGATGGCCACGTACCTTATTCATCATCATATAGGAATTACAGTATACGATAGACAAGGAAAGGCTAGTATTTAATAGTTTGTGCAGTTTTCAATGCAAATAATATAGGAAAGATGTCAAGAGCATGGACTCGGGGTCAGCTCTGAGTTTAAATTCATACTAACCTGTATTAAGTTTAAACACATCAAATTTCCATTGGCTTTCATTTCCTCAGCCACAAAATGTTATAATGACAATAACAATAATAATGAATAATAATAATACCTACTTCAAATTGTTTAATTGATAATAATTGATAACGTAATGCATATAAAATGCTCAGCAGGGCCTAAGTAGTCAATAAATGTTGGTCATATTATTTTCACATGTCATAATGTCCTCACAATAAATCTTATAAAGGAGGCAAAGTTCATGTAATTATGTAAGTTAAATGTTATAAAACTGAACTTCAGAGTGATTACAGACTTATCTAGTGTACTTCACTATGACAGCACGTTGGTCCTATCAGGACAGGGATCCCCCACTTCCTAGTGTGTGCCTCCCCTCTACCTACTCTGGTTTGCAATACTTTCTTTAGTTTTCCTAAATCTACAGTCTTCCATGGTGAGGCATCTCTGTGCCCCACATCCATAGACTGTCAACAGAAATGAACCCTGTGCAAGGAAGGTTTTAAAACCAACATCACTATCACACAGAAAATTTCTCTCAGAACATTCTGAGAAAATGGTTCCCTCATAACTACAAATTCAAAAGCAATTCTTTCAAGTCTGAAAGAAGATACTAAGAGAGAAGCCAGTTCAAATAGCAAAGCCTCAAATCTCCGAGAAGAGCCCAAGGCATGACACCAGGTCAACAAAGCCACAAACCCAGACAGCTTCCTAGAAACACCTACAGTCTCACCCACGGTCTTAGTTAGGGTTCCTATTGAAGCAAAGAAACACCATGACCGAAATACAAGGTCTGGAGGAAAGGGGTTTATTTGGCTTACACTTCCACCTCACTGGTCATCATTGAAAGAAGTCATGATAGGAAATCAAACAGGGCAGCAACCTAGAGGGCAGGAGCTGACGCAGAGACCATGGAGGGGCGCTGCTTAACGACTTCTTCCCCATGACTTGCTCAGCCTGCTCTCTTATAGAACCCAGGACCATCAGCCCAGGCATGGACCCACCTACCATGGGCTGGGTCCTCCCCCGTTGACCACACATTAAGAAAATGCCTTCCAGCTGGATCTCATGGAGGCATTTTCTCAGTTGAGGTTCCTTCCTTTCAGATAACTCTAGCTTGTGTGTCAAGCTGGCAGAAGACCAGCCAGCACACCTATGCATAGATTTTCTTTAATTTTTTTTTTGAAATTAAAATATAATTACGTCATTTTCCTCTTTCCATTTCCTCCCTCCGGCTCTTCCCATGCAGCTTGTCTTGTGCTATTTCAAGTTTTCTATTTCTTTAACTGTTTTACACACACATACACCTGAATATGTAAACACAACTTTCATAGTCCACATAATGTTGCTTGTATGTATGATCTCAGGCTGATTTCTTGGAGTTGGAGAACCAGGTCAGGGGTTCTTCCCTAGGGAAGACGATTTCTTCTGCTCTCAACATTCCTGCTCGTAGTTCTTTGTCTAGTGTTGAGGCCTGGTAAGGTTTCCCCCTTCCGTGTGCTAGCAAGTCTATTTGTGTTGTTCTTGTTCGGGTCTTGTTTAGGCTGCCATGTGGATGAGACTTCCTGGGTGTTGCTTCTCTGACGTTTCTAGGAGATGAAACCTGACAGCAAGTTCTTGTTCCTCTGGTTCTTACAGTCTTCCCGCCCCTTCTTCCGCTATGATCCCCAAGCCTTCCCCAAGTGCAGGAGGAGTTGTGGTATAGATATATCAGTTGGGTTGGTCACCATGCGGTCACTTGTTCTCTGCATTTTGATGGGTTGTGGTTTAGATTTTTAAAGCACATGTGTGCCACACATAATTACAAGCTATCAATTCATTTACATTAGCACTGGATGAGTTTTTGATGCACATGCTATCGTTTTCTGAATGGCTGCTGCAAGTCCAAATTCCACAGTATAGGAGTCTGAGATCTCCTTGTCATTTCATTTTGAAAATGAAGTCTACAAACTGTTCGACATGGTGTTGAGGTGAGCCCTGCACGTGAGTTGAAGAACCTCGACTTGATACTAGCTCTGCCCATTGCAAGAGGAAAGTGCCATGAACTCAAGGAAAAGCTGGTGTGTTCTTCCTGGGAGCTTGGGAGGGATCTGAGCCCTTTACTGAGGCTCCACAATAAAGGGTAGTAGTCTCTCAGCCTTTCTCCCTAGAGCCACTGCATTCTCACTTATAAAACAAGGACTATAATAGTATTTCTCCTCACTAGGCTATGGTAAACATCCAATGAAAGATGCATGTCAGAAAAAAAATCCACCACAGTGGTTTTTGAGAACGGTTTGTGAAATCCGAAGTATTACAAATGTAGGTGTTCAAGATAATACAAGGTAGAAGAAACCTTTTACTTCTGAGTGGCTTTTGGTTCAGCTATTGCCTCTGTGTGTGTGTGTGTGTGTGTGTGTGTGTGTGTGTGTGTGTACATGCTCATGCATGTGTGTTTTGTCACAGAAGTATTGCTGCATAGGCCAGGCTACCTTGGAAGTCATGATCCTCCTTGCTTCAGCCTCTTGGGTATTGGGGTGGCATAGGCATGCACCACTACGCTCAACAGATACCACTCATATTTTAGCCAATTTTTCATCTTTTCCTTCATCCTTTGACTTTCCTTTATCTGTTTTAAAAATTAACTCACCCCTTCCTAGTCCTCAAGTTGTAAGAATCTCCAACACCAAAGCACAATGAAGTACCAGATCGCACAAAGCAGGACGCCTAGGGCACCAACATGAAGTACAAAGCCCAGAATGTTTCAAGCTCCTGCCTGTAAGGGAATCTTCACTTGGTCCATTGCAAGGGTAGCAGTGGGTGGAGCGCTCCCTCAGGTCCTGGCTGACCTCAGAGATCAGACTGTCCCTCCTCTCTGTTCCCAGGCTGAGGCGCCTGTGACGTCTGGGGGAAAGCGGCTTCTGAGAGGTGCCCCATTGTTCCTGGCACTGATGCTTCTAGAGCAGCGGTTCTTAACCTGCCTAACTCTGCAACCCTTTAATAGAACTCCTCGTACTGTGGTGACCCCCAACCATAAAACTATTCCGTTGCTACTGCATAACTGTGATTTTTGCCACTGTTAGGAATCATAATGTAAATATCTGTGTCTTCCGATGGTCCAAAGGGTCCGCGACCCGCAGGTTGAGAACCATTGTTCTAGAACCTTCCCTGACTCAGTTCTTCCACAAATCCATTCCTGATCGTGCATTTCTGCCTCTCCTTGGAGTCCACATGATATGTAACGACTGGCGGAGCAATCGCTTAGTGCCTACCAAGGACCAGAAGGTACACAAAGTGCAATGGAGAAATGCAGACCACATAACATGCATGGCCCCTGCTCTGCGGGTGTCCAGAAGAGGGCAGGCCAGCAGCCACAGCCAAGTAGCCAGAGTCATTTTAGACACTCAGACAGAGGCACTTGGAAGCAAGTCCTTCTCATTGGACAGGAGGCCTGAAGCAGAGAGAAATATGCTTCCCAAGATAAATAACACAGGTAGCAAGTGTCCAAACTAGGTTTCTCCAAGGTCTGCTTTATTCTCAAGTCCACTGTCTCCTCGCTACTTGCTTTCCTCCCCGGGTTGGGAAGGCAGGACATACACACCAAAAAGGGACATGAAGGCGGCCACTAGAAGAAGCTGAAAAGAGATAAATATTGGAAACACTGTCATGCGGACAAGAGCAGGTAGGAGTCTAAACTATGCGCCACTGAGCTGGCAGGCTGTAATGTTCACCAATGGCACAGCCTAGGGGCGGAGAAGGTGGACACCATCAGAAAATAATGTACTGGGCCATAACACCCACTACGGGAGGCGCTCCAACCAGGGAACACCATCCATTCTCCAGGTTCAGCCACTCCATCTCTCCAGCTCCAGGGAGCATAAGACGATGATGGAAACTGTTGAAATTCTCACAGGGCAGGTAAATACAAGAGAGGAGTGGTTGATCCGGTGTAGCCTTGGCAGATGGATCCATTACGCTCGGCAGCAGTTAATCACCCCATTCCCATCCAGCACGCTCTTGAGCGGGGTGAAAAGGAGAGGATTTTCTCCTAACGTCCTGTGTTGGTTCCGCTGACATAACTGGCTAGGAGGACTTGCCGAGGAAAAGTGAATATCCTTGGCAACGGTTGCCAACATTTGTTTGGATTTTCTGTTTTCTAGGAGATGTACGACTAAGGGGTCAGACCGGGGTTCCTGCCGAACGCCGCGGCTCCTACCCATTCATTGACTTCCGTCTACTCAACAG